CGATTTTTTAATATCGGACCTGCCAACACTGCTTATGATGCTATAAATAAAGGCATAAGGACAATGTATTCATTGCCAATAAATAAAAAAAAATGCTATAAACGTAAGAGAGTTTTTGGCGGGATTTCATCGATTGCGGTTGGCGTCTTAGTTTAATAACTAGCAAACCAGTGAACCAAATGTTCACCAAAACCTGATTTAAAAAAGAAATCTATTTACCTAATTAATTGAGAACTTCGGAGATTTTGTGTGGTTTCGTTTGAAATTCGTGATTTCTCGAAAACATGAAGTGCTACGTTACTCAGATCCGGTTTGTAGTCTTATCAGACTATTCTTAACTTATAACTTAAATATTCTCTTTATCTATCTCTTACGGTTTGGCCGCTGAAACAGCACCACAGACAGACGGACGGACGGACTTGTCTAATAGATAAGAGATTCTTAAATTCGCTCATAGTGGATATCTATACTAATATTATAAAGCTGCAGAGTTTGTTTGTTTGAACGCGCTAATCTCTGAAACTACTGGTCCGATTTGAATGATTCTTTCATATTTTTTTTTTCAAAATTAGGGATCCCCAATAAAATTGCTGTTTTGTAACACAAGGTGTAAAATCGAAAACCTATTTTTGCGTGCGCTGCAAAAACTATTGACAATAGAACAAAATGATGTACTACGGGTTTGTAGATCCCATTAAGACCTACAAAAAAGTCCGCGAGTACATATATCTAGCTATCATGGTTTAATCACAATAACCGATTTTGTGTTCAAAATAATTATTAAATCGTCCGAAGAAAAAAAAACTACGTTAAATATGTATCGTAATATTAAAAACACAAACAACCCTTAATTTTCACCCCTCTACCACCCATATTTTTATGGCGATACGAAGTTCGCTGGGTCAGCTAGTTGTTAAATAAATTTGGTGTGATTTTGTGTTACAACCGTCTGCGCAACTAAACAATTAGTGGAATCTTCAAAATATACGCTATTACGGCCAAGGACGTGAGAACCTTATTGTAGTGTTGACTACCTCACAGAGGTTTATCGGCAACTCGATACTTTTCGTTCCAAAGGCTCCATGTAACATTAGAACGAGTCACACCAACATTCTAATGTAAAAAAAGAAGATTAAAATAACTTAAGACTTGGCTGTATGGGCATTGTTCCCTTTGCCTTCCCTGAAAAGGGAGAATCTTATATAAAAAAAAATGCTATAAATAACAATCAAGTATCAAGTTTATTGTGTTGTTTATAAAATCAATCGTCTTCATTCCTGTCAAATATCTCTTATCTATTAGACAAGTCCGTCCGTCCGTCCGTCTGTGGTGCTGTTTCAGCGGCCAAACCGTAAGAGATAGATAAAGAGAATGTTTAAGTTATAAGTTAAGAATAGTCTGATAAGACTACAAACCGGATTTGAGTAACGTAGCACTTCCGGTTTTCGAGAAATCACGAATTTCAAACGAAACCACACAAAATCTCCGAAGTTCTCAATTAACTAAATACATTTTTTTTTCTTTTTTTTTTTAATCGGTGAACATTTGGTTCACTGGTTTGCTAGTGTACTTATAATAAGCCTTAGTCGAAAAAGAAGAAAAGGAATTATAGCTGTAAGTAATTGATTATACCCAAGCATAATTAATTATTCGCCATTTAAACTGGTCGGTTTTGGTCGCATGGTGAAAATCGACCTTGTAAATGGCGATTCGACTAGCGAGGCGATTTGATACGCGACCAGCAACGAGGCGAGCCAAGAAAACTGACAAAGGTTACATATTAAGGTAATGTAGGGTTTATTATCCTACAGAGAACCACGCGCACTGGCCTACGTTGTCGGGTTGTCACCTTAGATTAAAACAAAAAGGGTAGATACGGCACTAGCCTCACAAAAGTGATCCGCACAAATTGTGGTCCACGACCCTAATCGCTTTAGTCACATCTTGACATGTAAACGACGTACATGTGAACGCCAACAAGAAAATAAAATTGCTAACATTTTGTGTTTATATGATAAAACAATGCCTAAGTATGTTTTTAAAAAGTGCTCAAATTGCTCAAGAACTAAAAATAAAACCCACGGCATCACTTTTAATTCGTAAGTACTATAAAATATATTTTTTCATAAAAAATGCTGTTTGTTTTGAATCTTATTCGGTAGTGACGTCGAGTACTGGTCGCGTGATTGGTCGGTAGTGCAGTGACGCGGATCTCGCCGTCTCGTTCGCGCTGCCGTTGAAACTTAACGTGCTGTTTCGCTCGGGTCGGTAATGCAGTGACGCGGATCTCGCCGTCTCGTTTGCGCTGCCGTTGAAACTTAACGTGCTGTTTCGCTCGGGTCGGTAATGCAGTGACGCGGATCTCGCCGTCTCGTTCGCGCTGCCGTGGGATCAGTTTTTGTTTGATGCAAGTATGAGCGTACCGTATCTACCCTTTTGTTTTAATCTAAGATTGTCACCGACATACGGTGGCTACTATTCCCGCAAAACAAAGATATTTGATGACTCATTTCTTTGTTGTACTATTCGCAAGCGGAATTCTTTGCCCGCGCACGTGTTCCCTCCTTCCTACAATCTGAGGTACTTTAAGAGCCCTTTCACATTTTTTGCAAAAAATCGTAATTTTTGAGCGCGATGTTTACCCCCCTAGAAAAGATTTTGACTGTTTCCAATACAAGTAAACAGTAGATTTATTCTTCCTATTGTAATTTAATGTAGAATATTTGCAAATACTATTTTCCTTTTTTTGTACTGATCGTTCTACCGCAGCTAGTTTACGGAAAAAACGATAATATGCACAACTTCAAACGCCTAATTCTCTAAATAATGTTCAATAAATTAGATAAAATTAATTAGTATGACATTAGAAATATGTTTGTCTTGTAACATAACGTATTAGAATTTTGATTTTACATCTCATTAATTATCAAAAAAAAAACATCTAACCTTCGTGAGTTTTCCCAAAAATCAATGCAGGTTTACCTCGTATTTTGATATTGAATTAAATAGAATTACTATCAAAAACTTTTACAAAACTAATCTATCATTATTGAACTACTGAAATATGTATATATTTTTATAATTAGTTCATTAATAATTATTTTATAAGACTCGAAACATCACCCGTAAAATGCAATATATACTAGTGCAAATCTACCTACGCGCCGATCAGTACATCAGCGGCGCAATTTAGTAAAAGGGCTCTTAATAAAAAATAAATAATCCGGAAGTATTTTTTTTTAATAATCTATTATAGGTCGATTAATTTTCAATGCTCTTTCAAGTCGTGTAGAGCAAGATATTTGCAATTATTTTTTAGGTAATCTGGTCGTTAAGGCTAACAGCCGTGGTCGTGGCCGCCTAGTGCGCGAGGTCCCCAAAACAGAACAATAGAGGGAAGTTTGCAAAAGGTTCGCTGATTAGGATACAATTTACGGTATTCAAGACAACTCGAGCATATATTTTTTCTTTGTTAATTGATACGGTATAAAAATTAAACAAACTACGGCCCGGCGGCGTTGATACCTGCCGGTACTGTCGTGTCGACCGGAAAAACTGCTTGGGTATTGTATATGTATTGTAGCCATGTGCAAATGTGAGTACGCGGGGCGCGTAGGAGGACGCGGAGACTTGTATTTGCTCTGTGGCTTTATGAATTAAGTGGGGTTCTGTCTTCTTTATGAATTAAGTGGGGTTCTGTTCTGTCTTCGATTCTTCTGTGTCTTCCATGTATCTCACTTTTACTACCCATTGGATGAATCCAAAATTTGACATCTCTGCGTTGGTATTTGCGTCTTATATGTAAACTAGCGGCCCGCCCTCGCATCGCTTCGGTGTAGAGTGAAATGTAGACTACAGTTTTTGTTCTCAGGCTTGTATTTTACACAATGACATTCATCTATGATTCTTCTTATACCTGCATGCAAAGTCTCAGCCCGATCGGTTTCAAATTGACAAAGTTTCATACAAACTTTCATTCCCTATTTTATCCCCTTGGGGGTGGAATTGATCAAAATCCTTTCTTAGCGGATGCCTACGTCATAACATCTACCTGCATGCCAAATTTCAGCCCGATCCGTCCAGTGGTTTGGGCTGTGCGTTGATAGATCACTATGTCAGTCAGTCACCTTTGAGTTTTATTTAAATAGAAGTAAATGCAGGCGACGGCTTGACGAGACCATTTTATACGCGTGTCGCCGAGCAAACGTCTCTGCTAATATGCAGGGCGTAAATCTAGACCTGTACCGGCGCAGTGGAAAATCGGTGAGTGGTATGACGTAACAAATTAAAACTTTATCTTAAACTGGCTAAGACAAGAGTCTCTACAATTACGCCGCTATGTGGCATCATTAAGCGCATCCTACCGACTATACCACGGCGAGTGTTCTGAGGAGTTAGTTTTGAGCCACCGACTTACTGTGGCCACTATTCCTACACGAACAAAGAAATTTGGTGACTCATTTCTTTGTCGTACTATTCGTAAGTGGAATGCTATACCCGCGCAAGTGTTCCCTCCTTCCTATAATCTGGGGTCCTTTAAGAGAGGCGTGAAGGAGCATTTTTGCAGGCCGGCAAGGTGAGGATGATTGGTGTAGCAGTTTATAACTGCTGTACCAGCTATCTTCGCGTTTGGACTTTATTACCACTTAACATCAGATGGGGTGGAGTTATTTGCTAACCTCTGTATATAAAAAAAGACCTTCTTGCTGCCTGGTGATATCGGTTACGATAGTCAGAGAAAAATCTGGTCCTCCAGAATGTCGTGAGCCTTTATTGTCAACAAAGATTAAGGGAGTCCTTGGACTGCTCCAATGACGTAACAAGTTATAACCTTACCTTACACTGGATAAGGAATTCATGCTGCCTGGTAATATCGGTGACGAGAGTCAGTGAGAGATCTGGTGCTTCAGGATGGTCGTTATTTCGTGAGCCTTTATTGTCAATATATTTTGAGGGAATCCTTGTACTGCTCTACTCAAGATATCAGTTTAAAAACTTACCTTGAACTGGCTAAGGTATTCTTGCTGCCTAGTGATGTCGGTGGCAAGGATGAGGGAGCTGATCTGGTGCTCCAGGATGGCTCTTATCTCCGTGACTTGGTCCAACAAGCCGCTCTCGATGAGGCAGCTTATTGCCGAGCGCCAGTGATGATTCTCCAGCACCGAGGTGTTCTGGGGGACAAAATAAATTTCATTCAGTAGATATAGGATTTTGGTTGGATATACAGTTCGCCTCTGGGAAAACAAACTTTACTTTACAGAAGGCCCTACAGTGAAATAACACTTCAAGTCCAAACTGCTGAGCATAGGCCTCCCCTAAGGATCTCCACATCGATCGATGGATCCATCGGCTTCCCGCAACCTTCACTAGATCGTCGGTCCACCTGGTGAGGCGTCGTCTAGTGCGTGGTGGCCATTCGAGAACCTTTACTCCCTATCATCCATCAGTTCTACTCGCTACGTGACTCGCCCACGGCCACTTAGGATATCGGTTACTTTAGTTCTCCTACGGGTTTCCTCATTTCTGATTCTATCGCGTAGGGAAATAAATCTAATATATATAATTCTCGTGTCGCGGTGTTTGTGGTTAAACTCCTCCGAAACGGCTTTCCCGATTCTCATGAAATTTTGTGTGTATATTGGGTAGGTTTGAGAATCGTACAACATCTATTTTTCATCCCCCTAAATGTTAAGGGTAATCCACCACTATTTTTTTTTTACATTTTAGATATTTTATTTTTATTTTTTTATGATACAGCATTAGTAAATATATACAACCCTGAATTTTCAACCCTTTACAATCAACCCCTATTTTTTTATGGCGGTACGAAGTTCGCTGGGACAGCTAGTATTATACTTATCATATTATATAGGAAAAATTAATTAGTGCCATTACAAAAATTCTTGTTTAAATCAAGCAGTTTATGAAACTTAATTAAAATAATTTGTAGAGCACGCTACCTGGAATCAATATACGGTTTCCAACATTAATTACAGCAGTGTATATGAGGTCCGAGCGGATGTTTAATGAATTTACATAAATGCATATTCACTGAAGAATAAATGTATTTCACGTGAAAGTCAATAAACGGTTGGTTTATCAAATTTGAGGCTTAAATCGCGAGCTACCATGGAATCTCACAATGGTGAGCGATAAATGATGCCCAGATTTCAAACGAAATTATATATGGTAAACTGTATTCGCAGTAAATAAAGTTTCGCGTATTGATAAATACACATTATTAAAATTAATGAAAGCCCGATCTTTTCTATACTTATAATAAATCTGTAGAGAGGTCAATTCTGTACATGAAATATATTTTCAAAATAACTATTAGGGGGTGATAAGTGATCGAACCTGATGCCAAAAATGCAATCAGTAAAATTTTTGTCTGTCTGTCTGTCTGTCTGTCCGTGTGTATGTTCCTTATAGAAACTAAAACTACTCAACGGATTTTAACGAAACTTGGTACAATTATTCTTCATACTCCTGGGCAGGTTATAGTATACTTTTCATCACGCTACAATCAATAGCAGCAGAGTAGTAAAGGGAAATGTTGGGAAAACGGGAGAAGTTACTCCATTTTTTAAGCTTCCGTCGCGGGTGCAGCCTTAATGGTTAAAGTTACATAGAAATCATGTATGACGGAAATATTCTACATAAAATTGTCTAAAAAATATCCCGCAACAGCATATGTCTATCTTTTATGGTTGACTCACAATAACACGTGTAATTATATAAATAAAGTCATTCTTTATAGCACAAGCCTGAGAACAAAAACTATAGTTTACACTACAGCTCTACACCGAAGCGAAGCGAGGGCGGACCACTAGTTAATTAATAATATTAACAGTCCCGTAAAACTGTCTATACACGGTGTAAAAAACCTTTAACGAAGTCGAAGGCCACGTATTTTCCACATCATGACAATCATTTTTTTCTTCTGGACCATACCTGGGGAATTTATGGTTATGGAGATATTGAAGGTCAAAGGCAAAATATTTTTTTCATGATTTATACATTAATATTTTCAAAAGGTTATTTAGAAACTTTTTTATCGACGCACTTAGACACACACATACACACAGGCATATTCTTTGCGTAGCGCCACAGTAACGCGTCGGGCTACACATTGCGTACTGGAAAAAATGTATTTTTTTAACTTAAAAATACATTTTTTTCCCACCTATAATATTTTGTAATATTACTTGTTTGGGTGTACAGAATGCGTAGTTTAAGTCTTTGTCATATAGTACTGTGTTATATATACTCTGTCGAAAAAAATATCGTTTCAGTGAAAAAAAAAGCTAAAGGGTAAGTCTTGTTTTTTCTGTTGCCAAATGACGTCAGTAAGCCACCTTGGCGATGGACCCGTTCAACTCGTAGGCGTTTTTTGAAAAACTCAAAAATACCCTCGAAAATTTTTTGAAACGCATTTTTCTTGTTTTGTATGCATTTTAGAAACTTTTTTTTTCGACCATAATTGTAGAGGGCGTTGAGTACTACAATTTATGTCAGTGTTGCAATCTCGTACAACAAAAAATGCGCATTGTAAGTGGCGCTAAAGTCTCAAAAAAGTGTTTTTTCACTTTTTCATCCTGAAAATATCATTTTAATGGAAAACTTTAAATGGAAAAGTTGTTCCGTACATAATTACCAACAACTTTTGTATAAACATTTTTTTTTGTATTACTTACCGTTTTCAAGTTATAAATTGCGCAGGTATGAAAAATCCAATAGAGCTGTTTTTGGGCAGTTCAAGTTCAAACTGCCCAAAACCGCTCTATTGGATTTTTCACCGAAGCGAAGCGAGGGCGGGCCACTAGTTCTACAATAAAACACCTAATTTTCATTTACGTCAATCCGTTTACGACCCGTGGCATACGGACAGACGACGGAGTGACAGCAATAGGGTTCCGTTTCGAACCCTAAAAGGAAGACAAATAGTCCGTGGAGTATTTTTTTAAATATAATGCATTTCAATATGCATCCTAGATATATTCTTAACGTCCTTCGTATACAGGGGAATATCTCAGCCAGTCAACAACCTCCCGGCGTTTTCATATTAATAGTGTCAATCTGTGTCTTGCAAATTTATGACAAATATGCGCATCCCACAAGAGCAGGTTCTGATACATAAAAAGATTTTCTCGACGTATTAACAATTTAAAATGGAGTAGGTGTACAAGTGACGATCGCTGGTGAAAAAATAACTTCTTTTTGTGTGAATACCGGTAGCAAACAGTAGGAATCATCATCAGGTTATTAATGTCCCCACTGCTGGGGCACAGGCCTATGGATGGAATAGGCAGGTGGGTGCCGGGAGCAACGACTAAGCGCCTTCCGAAGAACGGAGGAGCTCGAGATTTCATCCCCATCATCTTGATGTGTGGCTATCCACAACCGTGAGTTTTTGTCGAATTTTTTTACCATGTACGACAAAACTGTGGAATATATTGTCACCAGCAGTGTTTCCGGACCAATACGACCCAAAAACCTTCGAAGAAAGAGCGTACTCCTTCCTTAAAGGCCGGCATCGCATTTGTGATACTCCTGGCGTTGCAAGTGTCCATGGGCGATGGTGATCACTTACCATCAGGTGAGCCGTCTGCTCGTATGCCCCCTATAACAATAAAAAAAAAGTATATTTTTTGTCACCCATCCAAGGAACAACCACTGCGAAAGTTTCTTTACTTCAACGATAGTAGCCGAACGCGCTAACCAATTGCGCCATCGAGCTCCTCCACACACTGATGCAGCGGGATTGTGGGGCAATTTTTTTTTTAATCTATATATATAAAACTCAAAGGTGACTGACCGACATAGTGATCTATCAACGCACAGCCCAAACCACTGGACGGATCGGGCTTAAATTTGGCATTCAGGTAGATGTTATGACGTAGGCATCCGCTAAGAAAGGATTTTGATCAATTCCACCGCCAAGGGGATAAAATAGGGAATGAAAGTTTGTATGAAATTTTGTCAATTTTAAACCGATCGGGCTGAGACTTTGCATGCAGGTATAAGAAGAATCATAGATGAATGCCATTGTGTATAATACAAGCCGGAGAACAAAAACTGTAGTCTACACTTCAGCTCTACACCGATAAGGAATCAAAACAAAACAAGTAGGAGAGCCAATAAAGGGTATGTTCAATTTAAAAAAAAACACCAGTTTTATTTGAAAATTGCAGCGGCTGTTTCCTATCTCCTGTAAATCGACGCGGGTACTCCATTTGATTGGCAGGAGCCGGTGTGTATGTATGTATATATATATATATATATCTTTCCTATTTCCCTGATTGAGTATGATTTATTACAGTGGAGTCCCGAAAATGGCGGCGCGGCGTGTCGATGACACCGTCAGCTCGAGAGCCCGAGCTAACTCGATAAAAGCAATACGGGTGTATTTTTTCACATTTTACAAATTAAATAAAACACGAAAGGGTGAAATAACAAATCAACGGTCGAGCTTCGGCGGTTAGGTAAGTAGGTAGAAGAGAGCGTTTAAACGATAAGCAATTTAAAAAGTCTGCTTTTTAATAAAAGCACAACAGCATGCTTTTAAATTGATAAACAGCATGCTTTTTGCTTATCCGCCCGCCATCTTTTGTCAGTACAAAATTACTTGTTTGAGGTTATAAAGCATGATTTAACTGTCACGCCATCTATGTTTTATCATAAAATTACTTTGACTTTGATATTAAAGGAAAACTATGCTACATAACGATAAATAGCATTCCTTGGTATTCATTTCGTTTAAAAGCGTAAGCGACTGTAAAAAGCAGAAGCAAATTAAGCAATACGCTTTTCAACGTCAAGAGCTGAGAACGCATTTGCGTGCAGTGTGCGCTTTTGTTGATTTTTTTTTAAATAAATTTACTTAATTTTGCTTACATTGAATTTTATTTAATAATAAGATGAAATTAAGTGTTTTAAGTTTTGTGTAAATAATATTTACTCTAAATACTTCTTATAATATTGTCAAGAAGTATGAAGAGTGTGAAGAGTTAGAAGTATGAGAGAAGTTTATTGATTATTAATTAAAATGATAAGGAACACCTTTATTTGTTTCGTGCTTTTTAGATTATTATGGTAAAACTTTCATTCTGCTTTAATGAATGTTTGTAAGCTTTCAACGCTTTATTATGTTTATCGCTGCCGACGTAACGTCAGCTTTATATTTAAACGTTTTGGCAACATACTAAAAAAGCCTTTAAACGAAAGCTAGCTACCTTATAAAACAAAACACAACGATAAAACGTTGGAAAAATCAAAGCCGTTTTCCCCATCGCTAAAGGTAACGCAACATACTAAACCAACGTTTAAACGAAAAGCGTTTTTATAAGCATGCTTATAAAAAAAAAAACACAACGATTAAATGTTGGAAAAATTTGATCCGTTTCTCCCATCACTATAGGTAGGTAGTTCTCCATTTTTTTCGGATTATACATCAAAAAGAAAAAATGTGAATAAACTCAATCAATTTCAATACATAAGAGTACTCTCCAACGGTCGTGAAGTAGACGCGTTGGTTATGGCGAATATTTAAAAAAAATTTTTGTTCATCGTTTTACACGAGTCATATCTACTTTGCGGTTCCTAAGTGTGTAAAGTTGTGAAAAAGTCATCGTCGTTGGTTTAAGCAAAAATAATCTTAGTACGTGCTACGGAAAATTTGACTCACTCGGTACAAGGCGGCGAGATGGTTAGATGTGGCGATGAGGAAGGGCTGGTTGACTCCAGGGTGGTCCATGTCGTGAGCTATGGCCGCCAGCAGGGAGGCCATTATCTCCAGCGGCTCCAGGTGGTCACGGATCTAGGAAACAAATGAAGTCAGATAATGTTTGAGACATAAAGATGATCTTGCTGCTAAAGAAATAGAACAAGGTGTTTGTTTTTTTACGCGGTAAAGGGTTGCAACATCTCATTAGTTATTATGGCCCATAGTATGGTAAGCGGCGCAGCATCTGGTCGTATGCGATAGCTTTCTCTAAAGATATGAATTTAAATGTACAGTTTCATGTATTTAAAAAAGGCTGATATTTAAATTTTTATCAAAAACTAGCTGACCCAGCGAACTTCGTACCGTCATAAAAATAGGGGCAGGTGGTAGAAGAAAAAATTTAGAGTTGTATGTAATTTTTTAATACCACATTATAAAAAAAAAAACATTAGAAAAAAAAATCATCATCCTAAGGATCGGTATAGAATAATATGGTATTAGACATCATTTGCAACTTGAAGAAAGAACCATGTCTGTCCATATTTAGATTAATAGTCTGAAAAAGGGGGTAACCACATCGAAGTACGATATTGTCCTGTCAAATCTTCCTGTTTATTGCTAATGAATAATATTCATCGACAACTTATTCATTCACAGTTTACAAAAAGTTTCAAAACGTATTCCAATAAAAAAAAATGGTTGCCTGTAAAGTCGGTTTTACGGGCGAAGATTTTACGTGACAACGTCTTTTTCTCGGTAGAATATTTATTGATATGAATATAATTAAATTGCACAATTGGAACAAGGAATTGAATGAAAATAAGAATTGCACAAATTTTAACTATAGAAATATATTTTGTTTACTAAAACATTGTACATGTAAACTTAAACTTAACACGAGAGACTCATCGTAACGTTACCGAGCGTTACACTTTTTCATAAGTGACTCCCAGCCGCAACCTAATTTAAGACGTTGTCACGTCAAAAAAACTAGCTGACCCAGCGAACTTCGTACCGTCATAAAAATAGGGGCAGGTGGTAGAAGAAAAAATTTAGAGATGTATGTAATTTTTTAATACCACATTATAAAAAAAATAAACATTGTCCAAAAAAAATTTTAGGGGTGTGTAACGTAGTGTTCTATCAATTTCCTGGGATAACATTCCTCCTAACCCATATGAGAACACTACGTTACAATACCCAATAGTTTGAATTTTGGCGCGAAGGCGCATTGTAGGTTTCAGAACACTACGTTACAGGTGGACAACTATTATCACTTAAGGATATGAAAATTAGATAGTAGCCGATTCTCAGACCCACGGAATATGCATATCAAATTTCATAAAAATCGGTCAAGGCGTTTCGGAGGAGTATGGTAACTAACATTGTGACACGACAATTTTATATATAAGATATAGTAATTGGTATTCACCTTTAGATTACCAATTATATTTTTAGATTGATCGTTTCCTATTTTTCGGGATCATATAAATATTTCGCTTTAAAAAATTGGCTTTATCTTTATTTGGAATGTATATTTTTCCTAAGATAAGTGATGTTTTGCTACGACCGAGTTTGATACGCGGTCGGTTGTACAAAATTATAATAACACATTATGAGATGAATGGATCAAGAACAGCGTTGTTGCAAATTTTACCATAATACCGCTCGATACCATAGTTACTCAAATTTAGTAAACAATTACATCATGTAAATTGAAACATACATACATACAAATAAGGATCACATTTATAAAATTTCAATTTACTCCCAAATTATAGAAGTTAGAGATTTCAAATAAAATACGTTTTATAGCAAATTTTATCAGCTTCCTTCGTAACGTATACACAAAAGTAAACTCTTTTTCGAGTCCTTTTTATTACGAAAGCAAATCTTGTGTACTTAAAAAGTTATTGCATTTTTTAAAGTATGACACTTGGTTTTGCTGGACAGTGTATTAGATACGATAGAAAATTTATCTCCAAAGATCTTCTGCTTTTAAACTGGATTACACAGCATGGCAACGCGAATTAAATACTATAAATAACTATATAGCTAACGTAACACGTAACGTAACACGTAACATATCTTAACGTAACGTAACACGTAACATATCTGAAAATTAATTGCTCTATAAAATGACTTTACGAGTATTATGCCTCTAACTGGGTGCTATAGTAAAATATCTTGAAATTAATTTAAACTTTTTCAACATACTTACTCTCAGCTTACAACTGTGTAAGACAGCATAAATTAAATTACATATTTAATAAAATACGCTTTGAAAGGTTTTTACTTATATAAAGAGAAAAGAACTAATTGTTACAGAATAAATGCACGTCCTGAAGCCATTTCTTTCAGTAGGTGCATGTGATCGATCACAGACAGAACTGAAAACTTAAGTTAATAACTTAAAAATAAAACTCAAAAGTGACTGACTGACACAGTTTTCTATCAACGCACAGCCCAAACCACTTTACGGATAGGGCTGAAATTTGGTATGCAGGTAGATGTTATGACGTAGGCATCCGCTAAGAAAGGATTTTAATCAATTCTACCCACAAGGGGATAAAATAGGGAATGAAAGTTTGTATGAAACTTTGTCAATTTTAAACCGCTCGGGCTGAGACTTTGCATGCAGGTATAAGAAGAATCATAGATGAATGTCATTCTGTATAAATACAAGCCTGAGAACAAAAACTGTAGTCTACACTTCAGCTCTACACCGAAGCGAAGCGAGGGCGGGCCGCTAGTTTTATTATATGTATAGATTACTTAGTACGTGCAATGTACAAGTTAACATTAGTTCGACTATTCAATTATATTTGCCGTGCACCTTCACACACCGCTTCGAAGTTAGTTTTGAAGACATGTTGCCACATGCTCGAGGCAATCTCGAGATTAACGTTTGCACTCCGTAGTATATTCGTGAAATAGTGTGCCGAGTACTGCTTGTATATACGTAGTGTGTAAAGCGTACAAGATTATTTTGTGCAATGTCTGCATCTAAAGTAATTGCTTCACGTAAACTCAGCCCTTGCGCGAAGGATGAACAGAAAGGTTTCCACCTGAACATATTTTAAATTGAGTAAAAGCTCTTTAGAGCGCAGTCAAGCTGAGAAACACTTTATAAATAGGTACTTGAAAAGACTATTGCTAGCGCGCGTCGGTAAATAGCGTGCGATAAAGATCATCATCATCATCATCAGCCTATTAATGTCCCCACTGCTGGGGCACAGGCCTTCCCTATGGATGAAATAGGGAGATTGGGCCTTGAGCCACCACGCGAGCCCAGTGCGTGTTGGTGGGTGCTAACGACTGCAGATGCAGCCGGGACCAACGGCTTAATGTGCCTTCCGAAGCACGGAGGAGCTCGAGATAGTAAATTTTTGGTCACCCATCCAATGACCGACCACTGCGAAAGTTGCTTAACTTCAACGATCGCAGCCGAACGCGCTAACCACTTGCGCCATCGAGCTCCATAACAAACATACATTGCAAGTTAAAAAAAAGCTTGTAAAAGGCATTGCCCGCCTTCCGTCTTAATAGATTATTCACTAGCGGCCGCCCCCGACTCCGGTTCCAGTCGGAGCACCGAGAAGCCCATACAATCCAACATTTCCGGGATTAAAAGTACGTATCATATGTTTCAATGACGGTAAAACACAAACTATATGCGTACTAAATTTCATCCAAATACATTCAGTATTTTTGCGTGATTGTGTAACAGACACACAAACTTTCACATTTATAATATACTAGCAGCGGCCCGCCCTCGCTTCGCTTCGATGTAGAGCTGAAGTGTAGACTACAGTTTTTGTTCTCAGGCTTGTATTTATACAGAATGACATTCATCTATGATTCTTCTTATACCTGCATGCAAAGTATCAGCCCGATCGGTTTAAAATTGACAAAGTTTCATACAAACTTTCATTCCCTATTTTATCCCATTGAAATGAAATGAAATGAAATGAAAAGTCATTTATTCAGTCTAGGCTGTTACAAGCACTTGTGAAAGTCAAGAAGCTACGCCATCGGTTCGCAAAACTACGGCGGGAGACCTTGTACTGAGAAGAACCGGCAAGAAACTCAGCAAGGGCTGCTTTTTTCTCCCTGTATTGATATATACAGAGTCGTCAAGTTGAAAAATGACTTCAGACATACTTCTGAAGTCACCTTCCATTACATTATTTAGGGTATAGATATATAGTTACAACAAATTTTATATTTAGTATATATAGGAAGCAGCATTAGATAGGTACCATACTACTGTTACAAAACTGACTCATACCCATCAAATAAGAAATTACAAGAAACACTATGTCCATGCATTACGATCATTTAGATAATCATTAACTTTATAATAGCCCTTATTCATAAGAGTATTCTTAATCTGAGATTTAAATTTGGTTAGTGGAAGCTCAATCAGATCTTGGGGAACTTTGTTAAACAATGCAATACTACATCCCAGAAATGAACCTCTTGATTTTTGGAGTCTGAAACATGGAACGGCAAGCTTGTTCTTAAATCTCGTGTTAAAGTTATGGGTTTGACATTGGGGGTAGCATTGATCAAAATCCTTTCTTAGCGGATGCCTACGTCATAACATCTACCTGCATGCCAAATTTCAGCCCGATCCGTCCAGTGGTTTGGGCTGTGCGTTGATAGATCACTATGTCAGTCAGTCACCTTTGAGTTTTATATATATAGATAGAAGTAGGGTTTCATTACATTCGGCTTAACGTAATACCAACCTTTCCGGGGGGTAAACAGCATTTTCCATTTATTGCGTTCCAATTTATTTACATATCAGTGACAATAACCGCGATACCACATTATTTAAAACCCTTTGCGTGTATAATAAAATTCCTGGTCCATTAAGAACTAGAGGAGCTCGATAGCGCAACTGGCTAGCGCGTTCGGCTGCGATTGTTGAAGTTAAGCAACTTTCGCAGTGGTCGGTCATTGGATGGGTGACCGAAAATTTACTATCTCGAGCTCCTCCGTGCTTCGGAAGGCACGTTAAGCCGTTAGTCCCGGTTGCATCTGCATTCGTTAGCAACCCACCAATCCGCACTGGACCCGCGTGGTGG